AAAGTTCTACAATAATTATCATATTACATACAAGGGTAGAGATTATTAGCATATGCTCAGAGAGCTAGCCTTAATTACCAATAATCTTGAACCTTTGAAGCCCAACTTTAAATCCCATTGTCTCCATATATCTTTGTGATTGCGCACAATAGTCATTATAAGTAAAAGGTTTGTAGTTTGAACTTTGAATCAAACTCTCATGTTCTGGAAACACAGAGTAGCAGATCGAGATTATTCTGTCCTCCTGCCTGTTCACCTTCACACGGTTCTTGGCGCTCACGTATTCATCTCCACTCATAGCCTAAATGATCAACCCACATTTTATATAACAATTACTATCATCGGGGGGAAAAATGCACTACGTCATAACAATCCAGTCTACGGTATAGCCTAAACTTACCTGCATCATGTGCCCTAGAGAGACAACTAGTTCATCGGAAACAGGTTTGACAGAGAACCATTCATCGTCTTTGAGAACTTGGATTCCGCTCAACTGGTTTTGATTCAGTATGGTAAGCATGAAGCTGTCTTTATGGTCGCCGACTTCCCATCCCTGGCTTCCCTTGGAGATAGGTGGGTAACGTTGGACTCGTATGAACCCGGTGGATTCAGATAAGTAAGATTGTTTGGTATCCAGATTGAGATTGTTCGCCATAGCTTCATATAAAGTTCTCGCAATTCTAGCCATGTGATTTCCATATTCTTCCACCAAAAGTCTTGTAAAAAATCAAATAAGAAATTATTCACGACGTTCATCAAGACAAAAAGATATCAAGCAAATAATTATACACACACTAAAAGAAACTTGACCTGAAAGAATCAAGCAGTGAATCTTGAGCTTGAAGCTCTAAAATCTGATTAATTAAGAGAAAAGGTAATGACTTCTACCCAACTGATGTTGTGGGAACTTTTGAGGGGTGCCCCTGTTACGGTCCGGGAGGTGGTGCCCTAGATATATAAGACGGGGCTGCCAAGTGCCAAGTATCCCTTGTTTGTATTCAAATGAAAGATCAAATGGCTCCTAGGCATAGCCCTGGATTTGGCTCAAAAGGCTGGACCGAACACCGTGGTTGGCCAAACGAAACAGACCCCAATCTCTACAAGCCTGTCCAAGGTTGTCTGGATCAAGATACTGAAGATCTATCAGAGAGACTCGATCAAAATCTCCACCTTCATCCCCCGATTCATCAAGGTCAACGTTCTGGGTTTGTTTGGTTGTGTGAAAAAGAGGAGGGTATGAGTCCATCTTCATTTGAAATGATTTTTATTTTGCTTGATTTACACATAGAGCTTCTCTATAAAGTTTATAGCATTATTATTATTAATGTATAGGACAGTTCGTGGGGATCTTATATTATTAATTCCCATAGAATGGTACATTCATTAACAAATAGAACGATTACAGAATAAACTACTAAATTAATTTATAAGAAAATGATTTGTATATACTTAGTTCAACTCATTTTCTTACACACTTCTAGTTCAACTATTAAAAATATAATATAAAAATAATCAATTTGATCGATTCTTGCATCTTATGTGTAGGATTGTATCTTTAAACTTATTTATGTTTAATTTTAAATTAAAAAATAATATTTTTTTTAATAAATGTGTTGTGTAGTATATTAAACCAAAATATGTCTTAATAACTATCTTAATTTATAATGGGAAATGATTTATGCACCAACCGATTAGACACCCGCCGGTGCACACTCCATAAAATATATTTCCCTAAATCCTTAACTCTACAGCCATTCACGGACTTTTGGCCTATCTGTGCATCCAGACATAAGGCAACCCTGATTTTTTCCTCTCTTTTCTCAGAAACCGAACAGTAAAACCATCACAATTCTAGCAATTAAAAAAGAATCATTAAAAGATAAAAGGAGGCAATATCATAATTCTACAATTAAAATCAGTTCACATTTATTATATAAAACTATCACAAAATTTCAATCTCTTTCGTATTTTCTTTTATTTTCTCAGAAACCAAACAGCTAACACCACAAGATAATTCTAACTGATCAGTTTGAAACAAACTCATATTTCAATTACCTGCAAATGAAATGAATTAACGAAAATTTTCTATAATCGTATGAATTCATTACAAAATCAAATCACAATTAAACTTAGAAAAATCAAATCTCAATTTCTATTGTTGCCTCTGCTTATCTTCATGTTCTGTTGCCCCAATCGTGGGTTGCAACAACAACGCCCTAAATGGCATATGGCTGGATACTGAACAATGATCGACTGGCACAAGTCCAGCCAACAGCTCGATGGAGGCGACATTGAGAACATCGGCATAACAGTAGTAGCAACGTTGCTCCCCACGGCATGCAGCGGGCACGACATGGACAAAGCAGCGGAGCTTGTGGTCGGACCGGCCGCGAAGGACCTACTCCTTACATTTTTTGGATTTCTTTGTTTTTTTTTTTTTTTTTTTCATCCATAAAATAAAATATAATGATGATGCATAGCAATTGCAGCCTACCTGTGGGAGATGGAAGGTCAAGAGTCTAAAGAAGCTACTGCCAAGCATTTCGTCATATCTGCAAAATTGAACGCCATAACTGAGGAGAGAGCACTTGAGAGATACAGGAAAGAAAACCACTCAAAACCACCCTAGATCTAGACCCCTCGAATTCAACGTATCTCCTTTTTGCTATATTGTTTTGCCTCCAGCTCCTCCCCTCAAAACCCAGATCCGAAAATCCCCAAAACCCAAGCTTATTTCTCCGCAGATCTGAATTGAATGTGGTAGGGATTCAGTAGATTATTCTAAACAAGCCAAGGATAGGCCAACCCATGTGAGGAAAATATATTTTAATGGATGGACCGGTGGTGTGTAGCAGAGGGTGTGGGTTTAGGGTGCCAACCACTTTAGTATCATCATTTTTTTTTTTTTTTTTTCATAAAAGATCTTAAATTCAAATTATGTAACATAAAGATAGAGTAGGTTAAGAGATGAGAAATAATTATATTTCATTAGGTAACTTAAAAAATTACAATAATTTAAGGGTTCAAAAATTACATTTAGTTGCATAAAATACAAATGTAGTGAATTAACAGGTGGAAGAAACTTACCTTTTATATAATGTATAATTTATTTTCTTAAAAAAAAAAAAACCATAGTTCAGTGGGTTTGTCACATGTTCGGTTGACAAAATTTAGATCTAATTGGATCAAAAAGCAATCTGGAGTGACTCGTTTTAAAATTTATTATATTTGATTTTAGTCGGTCAAACAACTAAACGCATTTTAAGAGTGTGTTTATTTTTTAATTTTCTCAAAAATGTAAAACCTGCGAAGCCAGCATCAAAATTCTAAAAAAAAAAGAAAAAAAAGGAAGAAAGGTTATAGTTGGTTATAACAACTTAGAACTAATTATAATTGATTGAAATAAAAAATAATCAACTATAATGCATTATAGTTGGCCATATTGCCCGGAGTTCAATTCCAGGCAAAAACTTCAGTTCTGTTTGGTATCCCCTTCCCCGAAAGGTATTTCCAGGGAAGCTACATGCATAATATGGATTCACTTGCTCTAGAATTTGTAATTTTCTAGCATAAATCTCAACAAAAAAATCTAATAGTTGTAAATTAATAAAATTTGTTTTGAAAAAATATAAATGTTTATAAATAATGTAATTCACACCTGACCTTAAAGGCTCAATGACATTATTCATTAAATAAGTATCTTCTCTCATCTTTTGGATGAGTTTCGAACCCACCTCATATCAAAATATTCAAAATAATAATAATAATAATGTAATCCACTATAATTGCTTGAAAAGTATTTCCCAATGAAAAATGCGGAAATTTTTCCTTTCGAATTTGATAATCAATTACAATTGAAAAGTAACCACTTCTTTTAATTTTAGAGTAATATAATTAATTTTATATATCAATATAATCAACTACTTTTTGCAATGAATTTTGTGCCCAAAAAATTATTTTCCTGGAGCAAGCCATGGCTTCTAAAAGTGCGACTTTCCCAAATTATTTTTCTAAAATTTATGATAATCAAGCAGTCCCTTTAAACTCGAAAAATTTTTTTTTTCCTTATAACGGCTATATTTAATTATAATTAATTATAATGCTTATTGGAATTTGTGCCTGCAAAAAAGGTTTTCCCAAGCCAAGCCAACTCAAATATGTACAGCTTACCAGGAAAATATTTTCCTGGGCACTAAGAACCGAAAGTACCCTAAAATTTAGATGAAACCGGCAGATGAACCGACCTTTATTATATGTCCGAGCTACTTGCAAATTTCGATTCAACTGAACTGAAAGTTAAACCACCAATTCGGACCAAAACCAACCCAATAAAAATTTATAAATGGGTTCATAGCCCATTAAATATGGTGTGAAAGCCCAATGCTTACCTAACCACCTCTCGGCGAGACTGCCTCAGCCTGCAACTTTGCAAACATATCCACGTCATTTTTTTACAAAATGAATATTTAACATCACACAATTTCATTAATTAACTGTCATTTGTCAAAAAATTTAAAGAAGAGACTAAAAAGGGGTCGAATTTCAATATTTGAGGACTAAAAAAGACATTTTTTCAATATATGGATGAAAAAGTAGCTTTTTTCCAATTGTAGAGGGATCAAAAAAGGTATTTAACCTATAAATTTTGATTCAGCATTGTATAATACATTTATTATAAATTATTATTTTTTGATTTAAAATTAAATGTAGAAAATTTAAAGATTTAGCCATGCATAGAAGATGCAAAAAGATGTTGAATCGATTATATTTAAATTATATTTTTAATGACTAAACCATATGAATATCAATAAACATATCAAACCAAATGTATACTAATCATTTTTTTAACTAATTTCATCTTTTCATTAAACCCAAGGTCATGTCTATGTTCATTATCTTTTGAATTATCTGGTTGTCTGGATTCGTAATTTTTAATTAACATGTCATTACTACTCTTAATAGCTTGTTATTGACAGTGCTTTTAGGAAATTTTGATTGCTGCAATATGTGCTTCTTTTCTCATCTAATTGTCTTCTTCTTTTCTAACCTTGCTATATTAGAAAGTCATTTTAAATTCAGCAGGGTTGTACCATTGAAGACATGATGTTAGCATTTCCTTCAGAAAATTGGAAACATGTATTAGATTCCAAATTTTCCCATCTCAATTTATATTGTGTTCTTCTTTGTAAAGACATTTTTTTTTCAAAACATATTTAGTTTTAATTTTAAGACAATTTAAACAATGATTTTGAATATATAAAGTGAAAAATATAAATGGTCCTCTTATTAATAAAACAAGGATTTAATTTAATTAACAATTAGAAGAAGACATGATAAATAGTTAGGTCAAACAAGTTCAGGGCACGGTCCTAGCTGGTCCGACCCAAACGAGTCATGAGACAGTAAGGGGTTGAACCTAATCTAACTTACCATGAATGCAAGTTACCTTTGGGTCAACCCGTTTATTTTCCACTTATTAACTTTTTTTTTATACACTTTACTCTCATTTCCATATGAATTTCTTTGTCTTTCATAATTTTAAATCATGCATAAGCCAATCTGCAAATTTTGATCACGAAGTCTCTGTAGAGAAAAATGATTCCAAACAAATCAGTTCCTAAACCATCTCTATAAAAGCAATAATTAATATGATTCTTAAAATACAGAGCCCAATGAGACTTTAAACTTTAAAGCAATCTATGAACATGAAGAAGAATGAACCCATAAGCTGAAACACTTTGAAAACGAAAACAACTAGCGAAGAACATCAAAAAAATCATCAAAATAAGATATACCCAGGTGCAATTGACCTCTAATCTTGCTTCTCTTTACCAGAATTGTTCATCATCAGTAGGAGGAGATCAACCATCTGAACCCACTAGTGTAATGAGAATCAAGATGAATCAAAACGAACTAAGGTCACTTTGTCAGAAACAATAAACTATACAAAATCAAACCTTAAGTGTTGGAAATTTTTATGTGGCCTATCACTAATTATATTCAGTTTTTAAAATTACGTCAAATAGAAAACTGGTAAAACCCAATAAAGTTATGTGATTTAAGCAAGCCTAAATTTTATCTCAGTTTTATATGGTGTGATATAAATAGATGTAGGACCTGGAATTAAAAGGTGGGTTACTTGATGTGGTTATCCAAAATAGTTATTATAATGGGTTATGTCCCCTCTCCTATTCATAAAAACCTACCTCTATAAATAGTAGAGTTAAGGAGTAACATGATCCATTGGTTGTTATTATATAGAAGTTGAATAGGGAAAGGAAAACCTAAATCCCAATACCAATTATATTTGTTTTGTAGATCTAATTATGTGATCTCAAATTATGATGATTCTTGAAAATTCTTAGATAATATATATTGATTATGGAGATTCAAGTACATAATTTATTTATCTTATTAGATCTTAGTATCCTAAATCCTATGCATGTTAATCTTTTAAATTTTGACATGTGGTATTAGAGTAAGTTATACGTGCGTATAGGATATTAAAATTGTTTATTTCATTGTTATGGGTTTTCACAATCTTATTGGAATTTTGTTTTGAATTGTTAGGTTATTGTGTGTTAAATTGTGATTAAATTCTTAGAATTTAGTTAACAAGTAATTAAGGTTTAAAATTTATTTTCACCTATGGTTAAAATTGAGTTTAGTTGGTTTCAAAATTTGTTGTTGTGACTCTTTTAATCCATGCTTAAAGAATTAAATAAAATTTTATTCTTGGACATAATTACTAAAGGATAGAAAAGTTAAGATATAATTCATAACTTAAGAAACCCAAGTTTTGGTTCTCTAATTAGGTTATGTATAGGTTATGTATGTGTTTAATTAAGAATTTAATTCGGGGTTTTTGTAGATTATAAATCTGCAATTGAATTTATTTAAGTTATGATAATGCAGAAGGTGAAAGTTCAGAAAAGTTATTGTGCAAGTGATGATTAATGGGAAAACTGTTATTTGGTCCCTTAATGATTTTGTTTAATGCAAATTTGTTCCCAAAGATTTAATAAGATTGCAGATTAATGCATAGACATTAAATTTAAGATTAATTACTCTTTAATCCTTTTCTCTTTCTCATGTTTAAAATAATCTTCATGAATGATTATGTGATATGGAAGTGAATTTAGTTGAGTTCTTTTGAATTTATGGATTTATATTATGATATATTCTTTTGTTATTTAATACCATTTTAAAAGGAAAAAAAAAAATGGTTTGGGATTTGGAATTCCAATGGGAAGTAAAGAAAAGGAGTTGATAACGATTGTACATCCCAATCTGTTAAGGAATCCAACTAACTAAAAATAAAAATTAAAAAGGCAAATAAAAGTTGAGGGATCAATATTGTTATTTTACCATTCAAGAAATGGCATAGTGGTCCAAAAGTCTGATACGGACTTGTTTCCTTTACAATGGGTGAAGGGGTCGACACATAATCAGTTTTAAGTTATTGTGCAAGTCTGACATAATGTGAGGGTGTTGACACTTAAGTGATTTGTAGCAATTGAGCATTAGGAGTTTTCTGAACCTTATGATATTAATTGTATATTGTTATTTATATACAATGCATATTAGATTTTATGTGAAGAATATCTATTAATATAATCTTATTTTTTTATCTTGATTGCACAACAAGAGGTAATCATCTCTATCCCTTATCTTACCCCATTCACATGCCATGCGACTCAAATTTATGATTTCTTATTTCTAACATAAGGAGATAACCATTGAGCTATGTATATCATTGGCACCTA